TTTAAAATATAAAAAATCTAAAATATAATTAGAATAATTGTCGAGTTCCAACAAAATAAATAATTATTATCTTTATAAAAATTATATTATTAAACTAAATATAAATTACTTCGTTATTGTACATAAATTAAATTATAAAAAAATTGAATTAAAAAATTACACAAAAAAATGAGAAATTTCAAATAGTTAATTTGATATTAATATCGATATATTTTTGTCAAATTTTTATTATATCTTCAAACATATATTTTATTCAAAAATAAAAACATCATCGTTTTCTCAAAATCATATAAAGCCATATTATAACATCGACTGAGATAAAGAATAAAATAATATTAAAATTACGATGTATCTCGCTGCATTGCGCGAGTACGCTTCTAATATAAATAAAAGAGCCATCACAAATTACAACTGTGTTTTACACAAGGTTATAAAAAACCTTCCAACGCAAGCAAGTATATTCCACCTTTGGAAGTTAAACCAAACCATAGAAAATGACTCTTATGCCCTTCCCAAAGTTGAAAACATCAACTCCCATTACCACTGATCTATCACATACCAAGGGCATTAGAGTCGTTTCCGGTGTCTCTTTGCCAAAGTTACAACATAGTTCAAAAAGACAATTTTTGTTGCAAGGCAAACATCCTTCTCCCATTAAACCATCCTTGCAGGTTCTACCAATTGCAAAACTCTCTCAGAAGCCCTCTAGCATCAGACATCAATCGGGGTCAGGGACATCTCTCGAAATTGTAATCTTCAAAACCCCTTTCGGAGGGCAATCAGAGGTGTTAACTGTCAACTCCCTCACATTCTTGGGCCCCTGGGGATGGGGCCAAAAAGAAGAAAAACTCAAGACTTCTACAACACCCCAAAATGGACTGGTTGATGGTAAGACAATTAAAAGCCACTTTTGCTGTCCATAAGCCGCTACTCTTTTGGATAGAGGTCAGGTCTGCATACATCTTATGATAAAATTCTTACCCTCCCTAGACCCCCTCCAGGTAGGATATATTGGGTTCGTTTGGTTTGGTTTGGTATGGAATAAAGAGGTTGATATGTACTTGATCTGATTTTTGAGCCAACTAAGACCACAAACTTACGGGGTTCTTTGGATTTGGCTTAACAAATGGCTTCACCCCAGATGGAGTCACTGATTAGATCCCCCCATTGTTTTCCACCACACTATTTGAAGAGCTATCTTGAAAGCCCTGAGAAGAAGTGTATCTACTGCTTGAACAATCCCCACTCTTATCCTTCCTCTCTGGTTGCTTTCCCTTTTTATCTCCAGCCGATGACTCCTGCACGAAACTCAAATTTCAATTTATGTACAGGGAATATAACTCCTTTGTAATGCCAAAATGCAACAAAGTCTTGCCTTTGTTCCTAATTACTGTAACAATGAATCTTTTTTCTTAATTAGTCTAATAAACTTCAAATTATTCTTATTTGGTGCCTATTTTGACCGTTAACGGTAGATCTTGTAACTATTGAAGACATGCATGACAAGTTGTCAAGTTATATGTAATTCTTGATTGTGTGAAGAAAATCAACAGATGTCTGAAAACCCATTTATTAGGTAAATGGTACGAAATAAACATTTGTTACACTAAACAGAAACTAAGGCAAACTTCGTTATATTTTGATGCAATTTGACCCTTCTTATACTAGAATTTTACCTGGCCAGATCGCGACCCTGGGATTTTAAGTTCTAATTCGGTAACCACATTGCTAGAATGATCCCCTTTTTCATCGTTGCTACCCCTAAAACGATCCGAGGACTTGCTCCCACATTCTTGTTTGCTTGAACTATGTGAGGTAAGTGCATATACAGGTATCGTCTGATTAATGTGTGCGGTGGGTAGGTTGGGATATGACATAAAAGCTGGGGAGGAAGTCGGAATTGCACCAGGTGGATTATGGTTTGTGAAGAAAGGGAATGGGTGCATCGGGACTGGACCTGAAGGAACCGGCAAAGCAACTGGATATGAGTAGGGTGGTGGCATAACAACTGAAGAAGGATCAATGGCAGCCCATGGATACATAACCCCAACTCTTTGCTGATATTGTGCGTTAAGATTTTCTATATCAGATTTCAATGATGATTTCTCCTCTCTGAGTTCATTCTTCTCTTGTGTAAGCTGTTGTACATAACTCAACCGAATTAAGGAAAATAAAATCAGCCAAGATAATGACGATATTTAAGGTGAAGCCACGTTATTACCTCAGATGATTCTTCGGATAGTGCTGCACAGTCGGCTTTTAGTCTGTTAACTTCAGTTGCAAGATCCTTTAGCACTTGGATGGTGTCGATAATAATACTGGCCTTGTCATTTTTTGGTCTTTCTGGATCTGCACATTAGATTAATCTTCTTTAAACACAGTCTTTAGATTAAAATATACACACAATTATGTGACGAGAAGTTAAACACAGGCACTGGGTAAATGCCATTTCAATATGATCCCCATTGTTTTGACCTTTAGACTTGCAAGATACATTTGGGCATCTATGAAACTACAAGCATGACATCAAGATGATTAATGGCGATAAAAATAAATTGACATGAATGCCTTTTACTTTTAGTTTAAAGTGTTATGTTATCATAGTACTCCCTCTGTCCCAAAATAAATGTCCATAGAAAGGACACTTATTTTAGGACAAATTAAAATAGGAATATGGACACATATTTTAGGACGGACAAAGTACATTTTTTGGCTTACTCTAGCAATCATTTTTTATTCTACAAACGAAACAATTCTAATTGATTATGTTAAGGTCAACTGTGGACCTAATAGGGGCGGAGTAAGTAAGAATTTGTTATGCTATTACCGAGTACATTTCCCAACTCAATGAATTGCTCATTCAGTCTATCCCTCCTCAATTTTTCACGGTCAGCCTTCTGAACTTTTCTAGCATCACTTGTATCTTTTGCTTCCACTTCAGTCATCTCCCTGCATGGATACCAAAACAAGTTAGACAAGAGGAGATCCAAAACAGGTAAAGATGACAAAGTGTCACAAGTAGTCCACACAAAAAAAAGGTAACTAAGAGAGAAAAGGAGGCTAGAAACATTAGAAACTTGTTAGCATCATCAGTTGGGTTATTTAGCTGAAAACAGAGGGGGGTAACAGTCACATCCTGTCCCAAACAGGACACAGTTTAGGTAGCATAAGCAACACTAATCCTAAGAACAAAACTAATGTAAATATAACCAAACATATAAATTGACACCTCTGGTTTACTTTGATATGTAAACAGTTAATCACATTTTTAAAGTATGGGTGTAAGAACAAGCTGCTACGAGTTGGATATATGATATTTGCAAATCTATGTATCAAAGTAGAATTTAGGTACTTCCAAACTAGATTACGCTTCCATCTGAAACTATTATGGTGAGCTAGAAATAAAACCAAAAGGAATTTCAAATGGCAATGATACATGTACAGGGGCGGAGCCAGAATATTCAAAAATGACACGTAAAATGGCAAACATAAGTCCTATCGAAGGCGAGCTCCTCATGGATTACCCACCTAGGGATATTTCTTTTCATTATTTCCCCCATGCGAACCTTGGTGAACCTCGACTTCTCTGAACGACCTCCTGTTGGTATAGCTTCTTTCTCTTCAACGTATGCAATTGAAGATCTAAGTTGGGAACAATTTCTTTTTTTGAAATGGAAAGAAAAGGTATGGAGACCCTTGATGTGTCCGGTGTCCCTATAGTAAAAGGGAAAGCATAGTCTCTATGCTGCATGCTTTCATACTTGTTACCACACAGAAATGTTCTAAAGAGCACTAGGCAAAGCTACACGGTCAACCGACCACCAAGTCCCTTGATGGTTATTGTGACCAATCAAACCCTTTTGCCCACATACATATTATGAGTAACTAACTTGTGGAACTGCTAGGTCTAAATTAGTTAGTGAAGGGTAGTTTTGGTATTTCCAGTTAACTAGTTTATTTAATAGCCAATTAAAGTAGGCATCATCAGGAGAGTTGGTCTACCTCTCGAAAGTAGATAATTATCTCGGAGAGCTCGACTATCTCTCTGATTTAGGTGTCATCTTATCCGTTTGTTCTCTTAGTTGATCGTTTCACTCTTATGAATACTTGAGCTAAACACCTACATGAAGGCATTGATGAATCACCTCGTAAACAACAAATACTTATAATATGAACATGCAAATACAAATTATTATTACTAAAAGGCATACATGAAAAATAAATAGAACAAATCTGAAAGTGTTTTCAATGTATATTATGGTAAGTCGGAACTTCTCAATTGCTATAAACTTATATCCATGCTTACTTATTCACGAAAGGGTATCCTCTTTGCACCAAGACACCTCAGCCATGCAAAGGTTAGATAGAGAGTGATTGTACTCAGCCTTTCTCTTGCATTACGCAAAGAGCTACTGTCATGTCACAAAGCCATGAATTTTTGGTCAGAAATAGGTAACCCTGCCAGATACTCCAAGGGACACCCCATCCTTGCTGCTACAACTAAAAGCAATAACTTACTCAACAAAATGCAACCAATTAGTAATATTATTGTGTGAAAAAAGAGACCCACGAGGCTTGATAAGAAACAATCTAAGCAGTGGGTACTCACATAGGTCAGGAGTTCAAAGTTTTGTACTTTTCTAGGAATGCAACGCTAAAAGCCATTCAACTCCCCAAACAATATGAATATTCCATTACACTGTGATTATCCTGAGGTTCCTCTGTTAAGCTTCTCTCAGAATAGGGAGGTTTAGTTCCAATCCTGTACTTCCCCATTGAGAAACACCAACCCCATCAAATGAGAGATAACGTCTGAGTTCTCTAAACATGGATACTTGTACAAAAACGCATTGAGCATGCATTTGACTCAACAATTCGCAGATACACCTCTTGTGTCTAACATTGACTTGGTTCCATAAAGACGAATTTGTCACAAAAGAAACATTTGAACCATCTTGGCACTTGACAGTTTTGAAGAACTTCAAAATGATTAAATCTTCCACACCATCTTTTGTTTACAATGCACGGAAAATGTGATCATTATAATGACAAATGATAAAATTATTGTCAGCTGACATGCATAACACAAACCAAATTACCAAAAGCCAGTATGCCTCGTGGATTAAAAAAAACCCTCCCATGTCGAGGTTCATATTTTGCCACTCTTTAATCATGGATCTGTCTCTAAGTCTTGATTTTGACATCCAAAGAAATTCCAGATCAGTTTTTTACACACTTGTAAGCAATTAGATTCAAAATATCACATCCAAATCCAACATGATTGCCTGAATGTTTGCAGTAGTATGGCATATGAAGCATCTAAAGAAAGTGGCACATCGATGAGCAAGCTCCATACACATTTCAATTATCAACTATACTTCGTCCAACTGTCTGTACTCTGTACATGATAAGTAAAAGTTGGTACAAATGAACAGGACAGAGCACGAAGAGAACTGGTCCAGATGAACAAAAAATATGAACCACTTCATACTTCCACTACTCATTCCCAATTCACCACGCGCATCAAATGCCAACGTAAATCCGCAATTTAATCCCATAACATAAAAATCGTGAATGAGAATGACTATTTCATCAGTAAGACAGAAACATCAACATACTGATCATATCAATTCACTTGGAATAATGAAAAAAATGAAGTGGGTGCGAAAAGGGAAATGCAAACAAACCTATGCTCGGTGCAAGAGTTGGGAATATGCTGATGTTGATGCAATTCGAGCTTCGTTTTCCATTGATCCATCTAATCTAACTAGTTGGCAAGCAGAAGAAGAAGGAGGTGATGTTAGGGTTCGTTTTTTTTCCTGAGAATCAATCGACAATTTGGGGTATTCTTGCCATTAGCATAGATAACGAAGAGGAAGGTGAGAGGGAATTGTGTCACAAGGCATTATTGTTTGTTATCAAGAAATGGGCATGTTGCCCTACACGATTCCCTCATCTTATGATTCCATTGCTGTTGGTGCTTCCTTTTCTTTCTTTATGTATATTTATTTATTACTAGAAGCGTACTCGCACAATGCAGCGAGATACATCATGATTTTAATATTTCATTTTATTCCTTATCTCAGTCGATGTTATAATATGACTTTATGTGATTTTGAGAAAAGCGATGATGTTTTTATTTTTGAATAAAATATATGTTTGAAGATATTATAAAAATTTGACAAAAATATATCGATAT